ACGTACATCTAGGTCCCTTCAATTTCATCTTTTGTCCTTTCCTCAAACCCCCTATTCTATCTCTTCTCTCAATTTCTTTTCCTGTAACCCCACCACCTGTGGAACTCCTTCATCTTGTCCTTGCAATTCTCCCTAACTCAATCTTTCAAAACTTTCCCCCTGCAATGTCACCCACGTACTATCTGGCATTCCCTTTCATCTTTTGTCCTTTCCTCAATCCTCCCTATTCTCAAACTTTTCTCTCACTTTCACTCCCTGTAACCCCCCCCCCCACGTACTAGTGGCTTTCCCTTTCATCTTTTGTTCTTTCCTCAATCCTCCCTATTCTCAATTTTTCTCTCACTTTCACTCCCTGTAACCCCCCCCACGTACTAGTGGCATTCCCTTTCATCTTTTGTCCTTTCCTCAATCCTCCCTATTCTCAATCTTTTCTCTCACTTTCCTCCCTGTAACCCCCCACGTACTAGTGGCATTCCCTTTCATCTTTTTGTCCTTTCCTCAATCCTCCCTATTCTCAATCTTTTCTCTCACTTTCACTCCCTGTAACCCCCCCCACGTACTAGTGGCATTCCCATTCATCTTTTGTTCTTTCCTCAATCCTCCCTATTCTCAATCTTTTCTCTCACTTTCACTCCTGTAACCCCCCCACACGTACTAGTGGCATTCCCTTTCATCTTTTGTCCTTTCCTCAATCCTCCCTATTCTCAATCTTTTCTCTCACTTTCACTCCCTGTAACCCCCCACGTACTAGTGGCATTCTCCTTTCATCTTTGTCCTTTCCTCAATCCTCCCTATTCTCAATCTTTTCTCTCACTTTCCTCCCTGTAACCCCCCCCCACGTACTAGTGGCTTTCCCTTTCATCTTTTGTCCTTTCCTCAATCCTCCCTATACTCAATCTTTTCTCTCACTTTCACTCCCTGTAACCCCCCACGTACTAGTGGCATTCCCTTTCATCTTTTGTCCTTTCCTCAATCCTCCCTATTCTCAATCTTTTCTCTCACTTTCACTCCCTGTAACCCCCCCCCACGTACTAGTGGCATTCCCTTTCATCTTTTGTTCTTTCCTCAATCCTCCCTATTCTCAATCTTTTCTCTCACTTTCCTCCCTGTAACCCCCCCCCACGTACTAGTGGCATTCCCTTTCATCTTTTGTTCTTTCCTCAATCCTCCCTATTCTCAATCTTTTCTCTCACTTTCACTCCCTGTAACCCCCCCACGTACTAGTGGCATTCCCTTTCATCTTTTGTTCTTTCATCAATCCTCCCTATTCTCAATCTTTTCTCTCACTTTCACTCCCTGTAACCCCCCCACGTACTAGTGGCATTCCCTTTCATCTTTTGTTCTTTCCTCAATCCTCCCTATTCTCAATCTTTTCTCTCTCACTTTCACTCCTGTAACCCCCCCCACGTACTAGTGGCATTCCCTTTCATCTTTTGTTCTTTCCTCAATCCTCCCTATTCTCAATCTTTTCTCTCACTTTCACTCCCTGTAACCCCCCCACGTACTAGTGGCATTCCCTTTCATCTTTTGTTCTTTCCTCAATCCTCCCTATTCTCAATCTTTTCTCTCACTTTCACTCCCTGTAACCCCCCCACGTACTAGTGGCATTCCCTTTCATCTTTTGTTCTTTCCTCAATCCTCCCTATTCTCAATCTTTTCTCTCACTTTCACTCCTGTAACCCCCCCCCCCCACGTACTAGTGGCATTCCCTTTCATCTTTTGTTCTTTCCTCAATCCTCCCTATTCTCAATCTTTTCTCTCACTTTCACTCCCTGTAACCCCCCCCACGTACTAGTGGCATTACCTTTCATCTTTTGTTCTTTCCTCAATCCTCCCTATTCTCAATCTTTTCTCTCACTTTCACCCCTGTAACCCCCCCCCACGTACTAGTGGCATTACCTTTCATCTTTTGTTCTTTCCTCAATCCTCCCTATTCTCAATCTTTTCTCTCACTTTCACTCCCTGTAACCCCCCCACGTACTAGTGGCATTACCTTTCATCTTTTGTCCTTTCCTCAATCCTCCCTATTCTCAATCTTTTCTCTCACTTTCACTCCATGTAACCCCCCACGTACTAGTGGCATTCCCTTTCATCTTTTGTTCCTTTCCTCAATCCTCCCTATTCTCAATCTTTTCTCTCACTTTCACTCCCTGTAACCCCCCCCCACGTACTAGTGGCATTCCCTTTCATCTTTTGTCCTTTCCTCAATCCTCCCTATTCTCAATCTTTTCTCTCACTTTCACTCCCTGTAACCCCCCCACGTACTAGTGGCATTCCCTTTCATCTTTGTCCTTTCCTCAATCCTCCCTATTCTCAATCTTTTCTCTCACTTTCACTCCCTGTAACCCCCCACGTACTAGTGGCATTCCCTTTCATCTTTTGTCCTTTCCTCAATCCTCCCTATACTCAGTCTTTTCTCTCACTTTCACTCCCTGTAACACCCTGCGTACTCGTGGCATTCCCATTCATCTTTTGTTCTTTCCTCAATCCTCCCTATTCTCAATCTTTTCTCTCACTTTCACTCCCTGTAACCCCCCCACGTACTAGTGGCATTCCCTTTCATCTTTTGTCCTTTCCCTCAATCCTCCCTATTCTCAATCTTTTCTCTCACTTTCACTCCCTGTAACCCCCCCCACGTACTAGTGGCATTCCCTTTCATCTTTTGTTCTTTCCTCAATCCTCCCTATTCTCAATCTTTTCTCTCTCTTTCACTCCCTGTAACCCCCCCCCACGTACTAGTGGCATTCCTTTCATCTTTTGTTCCTTTCCTCAATCCTCCCTATTCTCAATCTTTTCTCTCACTTTCACCCCTGTAACCCCCCCACGTACTAGTGGCATTCCCTTTCATCTTTTGTTCTTTCCTCAATCCTCCCTATTCTCAATCTTTTCTCTCACTTTCACTCCCCTGTAACCCCCCCACGTACTAGTGGCATTCCCTTTCATCTTTTGTTCTTTCCTCAATCCTCCCTATTCTAAATCTTTTTCTCTCACTTTCACTCCCTGTAACCCCCACGTACTAGTGGCATTCCCTTTCATCTTTTGTTCTTTCCTCAATCCTCCCTATTCTAAATCTTTTCTCTCACTTTCACTCCCTGTAACCCCCCACGTACTAGTGGCATTCCCTTTCATCTTTTGTCCTTTCCTCAATCCTCCCTATTCTCAGTCTTTTCTCTCACTTTCACTCCCTGTAACCCCCTGCATGCTAGTGGCATTTCCCATTGTTTCAGTGAAATGATTAAAAAAAAAAGAAAGAAATTGAAAAAATGTTCCAACTGTTGGCAAGTGTCTACTCAGTTTTTAACATATTCAAGTTTCTTTATGGCTGGTATTATAGAATAAACCAAAAATGTACTTATGTGATTAGATTTGTCTGTCTGATAGGCATTATCCTTGGTTACCATAAACTGTATGGTTTAGTGGGGTGTTTATGGATTATTTTGAAACATTTTGAAAATTGACTTCCTAGATTTTCACAAGGCATTTCACTACATGCGAAGTCATTTTGGGATTGACAAAATGCAAAAATTAAATGGTAATACTTTTTAGGTTTTTCATATTATATTTTCAGAAAAATTCATTAGTTTCATGATTATTTCAATGTATTATATCTTCATCTTTAATAATTATGTAATATTATCATGTTGTAGAGACTAACTGAAAACATGAGACTGAATCTCTCATACATAACGTTAGATTATATTCGACTCCTGACTGCATTGATTATCATCAGCCAGTGGATGTGTGACACTGGGGCCTTCTCTAAACATGAACTCTGCATTCTTGTGTGGAAATAAAATACTTTCCCTTCTTCCCTGTAAAATGAGTGTTTATATATTGGCCTATCAGATGGTTTTTCCCCACACACACATTACCTAGGTACAGCTTAGTTGATCATGTGTTCATCTGCCAGAGTCAGATCCATTGAACCACAGATCTCCATCCTTGCTTCGGAGGTCATCCCTCAGGTCAACCCTGCACCTGGCTTCTTTGAAGGACATTAAATGCAATGGCTATTCTGGAATGATCTCAGGCAAGCTCAGTATATACTACAGTTATATTTTATTGCATTCAGCTTCCATAGAAATAATCAATATCAGGAATTCATAAGTTAAAATTCTCCTATTGTACAGTCCAAGTATAATCCTACCAGAATATGTAAGATATAGAAGAATTAACATATACAGACAATACACAACCTGCATTTAAATTTCAGTTTCCTTAAAACTGGCAAGTTCTGTGTGGAAATGATTAATGACAAGTCACTGTCTTGGGTATCTGCTAAACCAGGCGTTATTCTGGCAAAACAACCAAAAGTGTGGGGTATCCAGTAATAGTCTGCTAAATTGGCCTACTAGCAATTATCCTATGTCAAGGCACCCAATAAATTTCCATATAAATAATGTAATTTGTTATAAAGATGTTTTATTTTATTTCTCTTCTTTTAATTATAAAATCATTTGTGTAGAATTTCCTTAAATTGTTTTCTACTAAACAAGATATAAAAATTTGAACAATTTTTTTTTAATATGAAATTTTAAAAATATCAAATCTAGATTAATTGAAACCACAACCAAAATAAATCACAAAAATTATTTGGAATGAATAAAGTCATATAATAAAATTGTAAATAGTTTATATATGCAGTGAATGATGGTCCCATGAAAAGTGTTCATGGTCAATTTATAAATAAGATAATAAACTTCAGATTAATGATTAATTAGAACATCAATTTGTAAACTTGAATCTTTTCCCAGTGAAATCATTGTCACATTATTTTCAACAGCATTTTATAAACATCCAGAAATATCTTGATGTGTATATCTACATTATTTAACTATAATTTACATCTTTACAAAGTAATGTTAGTAACAAATACAACCTGCCTTCCCAAACTCAGTATAATAAAATAGAAGTAGTTTATTTTACATTCCTCATAATTCACTAATTTACATAAAAAAAATAAGATACATGCAAAATACAATGTTGCCATAAGTACTGACCTGGCTTTGTCTGCAAAAGGCCGGTGAGTGTAAGAGGCACCTTTGACCATATGATTTTGTTTCAATTGTTTGCACAGCTCTTCCATCCGTGAAATTGATTTCATAACCTGATACCAAAAAGAATTAAAATATCAAACATAACCTTACTGTAACAGAAACATATTATTAAAATATCTGCTTCATATCAAAGAACAAATATAAGATGTTCTTTTTTTTTTTCTTTTTAATTTTAATATATGATAATAATGTAAATTATATAGTACCAAGTTAAAATTTAAATAGACATAAGTATTTTTATACTATAAATAAATAAATTTCATAAAACAGCAGTTGAACGAATTTTAATGTCTGACAAATTGTGTGGGTTTGACCTATATTTCAATAATTTATGTTGTCCAAATAAAACATAGCTATATTGTATCTACTTTTGTTGTTTTTCATTTAATCTTTAACTGTTAAACAGTGAGGATGTAACTTTAGAAAAAAATCAAACTAGCATCCTCTACCTCAAAAGCTTGTTGTTTTATGAATGATAACTTAATTACAGTATTTGATGGCAAATAAAATCTGCATTTACATTTAATAATGCAGTATTATGCTAGGTACAATTACTTGTAGCCTATGGCAAGTGGAAAACGTTAGCTTACCATAAATATCTAACACCTAGGAGAATTTTTTACTTACTTTTAGGGATTAAAAAAAAAGTGAAGGGATCTAACATGTCATAAAATATGGTACTTAAAGCTATCATTATCAAACAGGATTCTCATCTGTAGCATTTTGCCAATGTTTTTTTTTCTAACTATTCCAGACTGTATGACCAAGTATTAAGCATCTCATGATTTATTCACAGAATTAAGTGTTGTTTTTTCTGTCACTTATCAATTAAGTTTTAGAAATAAACATTAATGCATAAACTAAAGGTGAATCAATTTTCTTTTAAAAAAAAATATTCAGATTTTGCAAGTATTTTCATAGGAAGTTCACTTACATTTACTGATTTTCATTAAGTGAAAAAAAAGTGGATAACTTCTCTGTGCAGAATAAAATTCAAAGGAGTTTTGTTTTTGGAGAAAATTTGAATAAATCAAAAGAAATTATAAAACCTCTAAAAAGCTGAATAAGAAGCTTAACTGGAATTTCACACAGGATAGAATAGTTTTCTGAAATTGTTTTCAGCCATAATTTAGTAAAACTGATGACACAAAAGATTCAATACCAAAGAAATTAACTACCTATAACAAACAGCATTGCTTATTATACAGTTAAAGTACAAAATAAAATTCAATGTATTAACAACAAATACAATCGCCTATGCCATAGAAGTAAAAGGTCTGAATATTAAAAGACATTTAACTTAAAGCTGCATATGAAAAAACCAAAATTGCCAGTTATAATAATATCATCTATTCTTTTTTTTAATTGTTTTTTTTCCTTAACAAGAACTAAAATGGTAATAAATGCCAATCACTAAACAATTTTTATAAAGATAAAAACAACTCACATTTTGGGAACTGTTCTTCATTTCTGTAATAGTGTCAGCTGCCTCAATTAAATCCCGGTACCTTTCTCTGTGAAATAAAAATGTTAAGAAAAAACTTAAATGAAGTATTTATATTACACAAGAATGGCAAGAATAAATAGTTTGCAACAGAGTTTCAATATTAATAGTTAAAAGAGGGTTTCAATATCAAGGGAAGTAACTATTATATAAAAATTAATGAGTTATTGCCCCTACATTAACACGCTTGGGAATTTTAGCTATTTCGTAATTTCATTTTCTATATAAATTTATAACAACAAAAATAAAAAATAAAACAAGAGATATGTAAGTAGGAATAGTAACTAAATCAAACACTAGAAAATACATTATAACTACCAAGATAAAATAAAACATAGCTTAAAATATTATATTTTCATAATTTGGTTATTAACAAATTACAAAAAATATTTTAATAACTACTAAAAATAAAAATAGTAAAATACCTTTTCTAGCTTTCACCTGTTTATAGTTGTGTGAAAATTTCAGAACAAAACTTTTACACATTTTTTTAATTTTATCTTTTCCTCTTCATCAATTTACTGAGGGAAAAAAATAAACATATTGGTAAATTACTTACCCAACCATAACTCTTAATTCTTCCTTCTTCCTTTCTATGTCCACTCTAAAATAAAACATCAGCATTTTTTTATATAACCATTTATAAAGAGAACCGAATGGAATATCCACATCAAATTGTTAAAAATATAGAAAAAAGAAATTCAAAATTGGCCATGTAAATCTATATAAAGAATTAGATAAAGTGCCAACCACAAGTTATTTCTGGTTGTCTGATTCTGATTCGATGTTATCAAAGATAAGCAGAATTAGGCATTTGTGTAATCTTACATTAAAGAATTTTACTCCTCTTAGGAAAGATATTCTTGATGGGCCATTAATTTGAGAAAAGCAATTACCAACTTATTAAACAGACAGATAAAAACCATTAAGCATTTTCACAAATTGGTGTTTTATTATACAGAGTGTGTATGGATAAAGATTGATGAATCCAGTTATTTTGATGCTACTATAGGCAACCATGATGATTCTAAGGGGTTTGTAAGTTAGTTGGCAATGACTTACTCTCAAATTTAATCCCATTTTGGAACATAGAGAATATTGGTTTATACAGAGAAAATGGTTCTAATGGTTCTCAGAAAAGTTAATGTTGGAGAAGTTGATATAAAGAAAAACAAATTATTTTTTCAACACCCAAATTGAATCTAACTTAAAGAAGGGAATTTCATGGATATCAGCCATTTCCAAAACAGGATAATAACCCAATTTATATAAACATCTCATCTAACCACCCTGCTGCCATTTGCAATCAGTGATCAGCAAGCTATCTGTAAACTCATTTAATTCTAACATCATTGATTAAATGTGAGTTGAATATTTGGTGGCATTAAAAACAAAAAAAAAATAGAGTGGTTACCCATTTGATTTAGGAGCAACACTTCACAAGGACAAATTCCCAGAGAGAAAAAAACAATTTGGTTTAATCCTCCATTTAACAAGTCTGTAAAGATGGAAGTCGGGAAGATGTTTATCAATTTATAAGCACTTCCCTAAAGGTTTTTAATAGAAACTTTCTTAAAGTCAGCTATTTTTGCATGCATAATATACTTCAGTTGATGAAGAAAATGCAATCATAAGTTGTTGAAGACTCAGGATGTATTTTATCATTCTAATAATTCTATGGCCATAACATCAGCATCTTATGTTACAGAGCTAAAGATGGCCTGATGATCTCTTAAGATGGGAAACTGACAGTCACCATGTAGTGTTAACTTCCTTGGCCACAATGATTATATCTACAAATGCTCTATTCCTATAAATATAGCATATTTAATTGTGTGTGCGCATATATATATATATATATATATATATATAAATTGTGTATTTTGGCAGCAATCCCTTTTATGCAAGTTTCATTAAAGACAGTTAAAGGTACTGCAGTTAAACATTTTATTCAATTTTTCTTGTGTTTATATAAGTGTTTTCTTTTCAGGGAGGGGGGGGTTCTATCACATTCTTACATATTTCAAGCAATATCAAAATTATTACACAACTTTTTATCTTTCCAAGCAATCTTGTAGAGAATTAAATATTTTCCATTAAACAAATTTCTGTATAGATCAAAATAAATATAAATCCAAAAGGTGCAACACAATATCTAGTGAAAACAGTGCATAGATGAAAATTTCAAAACCAAAATGTAGTAATTTCTGATAGAATATTATGTTCTTTCTCTCAACTAATTCCGAATGCTTTTCAGTGGATGCTTCTTCAGTTAATCAAATTAAGAGCAATGTTCATCTAAATCTAAACCATATTCAATGACTCCTTTTCAATCCCACTATATATATTTATGTTTTTTTTTCAAGCGTTTCACCCCAAGCAAGGCGAGAAGCCACTAGGGCGCAAGGGGTTATAGAAAATTTAGAGCAAGATCAGATAGAAGTGATAGAAAAAAAGGATGAGGAGAAGGGTAGTGGATAGATCAAGGCAACTGGAGATGTCGATTGACATTACATTTGAATAGCTGGAGATTATAGCTCTCAGGGAAACTGGAATAGGGAAGGGAGTTCCACAGGCGAGAGGTGCGAGACATGAAGCTATTGGAGTAGAAAAGATGGCTACATTTAGGAGTTTCGACAGTGAAAGGGTGAAAGTGGGATGCCAGCCTTGTAGGGCGCTTGAACTCATGAAGTCTGGGAACCAGCGAATGCAACTCCTCGGAGCAACTGCCATGAAAGTATTTACAAAACAGACAGAGAGAGGTGACGGCACGTTTGTGAGAAAGTGACTGTAGACGAGATGCCAGAGCAGGGCCAATTATATTGCATATCCACCTCTGGAGCCTATCAAGAACCCCGAGGCAAACAGAAGGGGCTCCAGACCATATATGGCAGCAATACTCCATGCAAGGGCGAATTGTTGATTTGTAGATCTGGAGGATCGATTCTGGGGAGAAAAGGTGGATGAAGCAATTGACTCAATGTATTTGTTCCATCTCAGGTCAGCAGTCAATGTGAGACCGAGCAGCCGCAGAGAGGTGCTCTCGAGAAGTTCAGCGTCAGACATTCTAATGGGGGGCAGGGAAGGATCTCTGTGGTGATTAATAGAGAGCAGTTTTGTTTTTGAAGCTTTAAAGTTGACCAGCTAATTCCTGCCCCAGTTCACAACCGATTGGAGGTCATTTTCGAGACGCACAACCAGGTTAGTTTTGTCAGTGACACTAGATTTGCTTTTGAGGCAGGAATAAATTGTGGTGTCATCCACGTAGATGCCAACTTGGGAATTTATGGTGTCAGGAAGGTCATTTATGTAGATAAGGAATAGAGTGGGGCCTAGGATGGAGCCTTGAGGAACATCTGCGTTTATGGGATAGGAACTGGAGGAGAATCCATTGAGAACGACCTTCAATTCATGGTTTGACAGGAATGATTGTATTAGGTCAAACAATTGACCCGTAATGCCATAACTCTGGAGCTTGTGAAGAAGGCCGGCATGCCAAACCCTATCAAACGCTTTGGAGATGTCTAGGGCCATGGCACAAGCTTCCCTGTTATTTTGAAGAGCTTGGTAGACAGTTTCAGGGATGGCCATAAGCACATCAGCTGTAGATCAGGCAAAGCGGAAGCCATATTGCTTGTCTGAGAGCAGATCATGGGATGTGAGGTGGTTAACCACTTCGGTATTGATTAGGGCTTCAAAGACTTTGCCAAATAGGGGTAGGAGACTGATAGGACGGTAGTTAGAAGGGTCAGAGGGGTCGCCAGAGTTCTTGAAGACAGGAACAATCAAAGAAGACTTCCAGCAGTCAGGAAAACAAGATTCCTTGAGGCAGTAGTTATATAGTTTAGAGAGGGCGGGCGCCAGTTCAGGTGCGCATTTCTTCAAGACAATGGCTGGTATCCCATCTCCACTACTAACCTTGTTGGGGTCTAAATTGAAGATAATGCCCAATACCAAAGATGGGGTTATATGTAACCCACTCAATAGGGCCTCAGTTCTAAGAGGGAAGTTGGGTATGGGTACACCGGAAGAGTCGAGCGTTGAGTTGAATGAAAATTTCCGAGCAAAGCATTCAGCCTTGTCGGCAGAGGAGGTCAAGACTTCGAACTGGTTGAACAAAGGAGGTATAGAGGGTTTGCAATCGTTCAATACACTCTTGCAGAGATGCCAATTGCCAAATTTGCAAGATGAAATACGCTCCTTCATCCGTGACTTAGCATCATTGAGGACACGCTTACACTCGTTACGGTCAGACATGTCACTATGAAATAGGTGAAAGAAGTGGTTCCTGTGGCCGATGGCGGCTGAGCAAGCAGCGGAGAACCAGGGGAGGGAGCAAAACTGACCCTATATTTCCTTGAGGGGATGAAAGCGTCGATTCCAGCTTTTTAACCCAGGATGAGACCTCAGAAGCACATTCTTGGATGGGGAGCATAAAGACAACATCCCAAGGGACATATATATATATATATATATATATATATATATATATATACACACACATAGCATCCTCTTTTTGGAAGGAGATCTTCCTTTGATAGGTTTTGTGGTGGTTCAGTTTTACTTGGCCCACAATATCTTGCATTGTTGTTGTAAAGTATCCACCCATCAAAATTTGTTTAAATTGCAAATCACAGAGTCTAGGATTTTTGTGGAAGCCTCATATCAGAGTGACTAAGCTGGTGAAAATGATTTTCAAGACTTAATTTGGATATTTTCAATATGCTGGCTATCATCAATATCATATAACATTGATTATCATCAAATAGAGCCTTCCTTTGGTCACTATTAACATCAACTGGTCTCCCCAACCATGTAATATCCTTTAGTTAGTAATCTCCAGTAAGAGACTTCACAAACCATTTCTACCATATTTATCATCAATTCTAGAAATCTTATTTTTGTATGTCATTTGCATTTTGCCTTGAAATAAGAATGCATAATGTATTGTAAATTTTATCTTCTTCTACCTTCAATGTTAGATCAATAAACAAAAATGCATGGTTGTATGACATATTTCATTATACAATCAAAAGAAAGTTTATTGAATTAAAACTAAATGCTCTTGATGTCATCTAATGACAGTAACAGAACAAACATTTTAGATAACTCAATTTACATGCACACACAATATGCTGCTCAGTTGGACTGCTAAGATATATTTTTTAAATAATTCTTAAATGAAAACATGACAAAATAAAAAAAATATTAAAAGGATTTGAACAAGTTCTTAAATTATAATGATACTGTCCCCAAAAAATATAATAAAATCATTCTAAAACAATCCTAAACAAAATCTTTAAAAATTTAATATTTCTTAGTCACTTGGATGAATTACTGAAAATTATATTATTTGAAAGATTTTTGTATAAAAACTTGTAATTTATTCTTTAGTGATTTTTTTTTCCTTTAAATGGAAAAAAATTTATGCCAAAAGAATCAATGGTTCAAAAGATACAAAGTAATGACCAGACAATAATATCTGCATTTTACCAAAACTGTAGATTCTCAAAATGCAAAATCTTTACTCCAAATTATCTGACTTTGATTTGTAGAATCAGACTTCTAAATTTGTTTAAAAACCCATTAAAAGTGTCTCAGAGT